ATATATATATATATATATAATACATATATATATATATATATATGCATATACGTTGTTGCTCCCTATGTTTATATATAATTATGCGGCTATTGCTGGATTTTACGCGAACAAATGCTTAAAAGACAATACAACAGAAAATAAAAAAGAAAGGGCTGCAGATACACCCCAATGTGCAAATGTCTCAGCAGGCATCTAAACCCTAAACCCTAAACCCTAAACCCTAAGCCTGAAGCCCTAAACATTAAACAACGCAGCAGAAATGTTAATAGAAATGCTGCAAACCATACTGGCACACGCCTAGGGTTTAGGGTTTGGGGTTTAGGGTTTAGGGTTTAGGGTTTAAGGAGTTGTAAACAATCGAAAGAAGAGACAGACGCTGTCTTCCTTCTCTCTTTCTTCAGGTCTCTGTCTCCTTCTGTTGTTTGCTCTCTCTCTCTTTCTTTATCTCTCTCTTTCTCTCTTTCTCTTTCTCTCTGTCTCTCTCTGTCTCTATCTCTTTCTCTGTCTCTGTCTCTCTCTGTCTCTCTGTCTCTGTCTCTGTCTCTCCTTTTTGTTTTTCTTCATTATCTTTTATTTCTTTCTTTTTCTTTTTGTCTTTTTTACGCATGCCAAGCAAAAAAAAAGTAAAACCCTAAAAGGCACACTCCAGCATGCACTGCATGCAAATTGCATGCATTAAGACATGCATGCATTAAGACATGCATGCATGCATGCATTAAGACATGCATGTATTATGCAATGTATACATGCATGCATGCATTAATACATGCATTCATTAAGAGATGCATGCATTAAGACATGCATGCATTCATTAAGAGATGCATGCATTAAGACATGCATGCATGCATTAAGAGATGCATGCATTAAGACATGCATGCAAGCATTAAGACATGCAAGCATTAAGACATGCAAGCATTAAGACATGCATGCATGCATTAAGATATAGATGCATGCATTAAGAGATGCTTGCATGCATTAAGACATGCATGCATGCTGATGAATCTTGTATTTTATGAAGATAAGAATAAGTTTAAAGGCTTTGGGTTTACTGTTGTCAAATATTACAAAATATAACAGCGCATGCATTTCTGGATTTGCTTGTCTTTGCACATCGCCTTGAATACCTTTTAAATAAAAAAATTAAACTATATATATATACATATATATATGTATACATATTTGTATATATATTGTATGCGCACTATATATATATATTTTACATACACATTATATGCATATATATTTATATAGTTTATATATATTATATATCTTATATATATAAAGAAGTAGCAAGCGAAATGAAGACAGAAGAAAAGAAGAAATTAGCAGCAAATTACCTGCGAGAACAAATCAGAGGTAGACAGTGCTGTGGTTTGCATGCATGCAGGGGTTTATAATAAAAGAAGTTTTTAAGGGGGTGTGTATAGTTTAATGATTATAAATAAATGCTGCAGCAATTAAAAAAAACAAAAATATATACAAGACAGAGAGAGAAATAAATAAATATTTATAACAGCAGCCAGA